GCGGAACCTGGCGTCGTCACCTCCAAGAGGCTCCGGCCGGACGCGTGGGCGCCGACAGCGGGTTCCGCCCCGCCGAGGGCCCTGCCCGGGGGGCGGGGCGAGTACAGCGCACGCGGCCTGGGCCCCGCGCGGGACCCGCTGGGGGGAACCGTGTCCGTGTGACCCCCACCCCCCGGGGTCTCTACGGGACCCCTGTGGCCGTCCCAGCGGACCGTCCCGAGGGGCTCCTTTGTGAGGCGGGCCCAGGCAGGCAGGACTCCCCAGCAGAGAGAAGGGGATGGGGATGGAGGTAAAAAGATGACAGAGGCCTGTAAAATAACGGGGTCTAGAGAAGTACCCAGGGCTGGCCTGCCTGCAGCCTCTCGGCACTAGAGCTGGACGCAGACGCGCATTCCTAGGGAGCAGATTGAAAATACGCGGGGGCAGGTTTTTTCAGGGTGCACAGTTCACTTGGGAGACTTGTTGCCGTGGGATGTTGTGGAGGGTGGTCGCTTTGGCAGATCCCAAAGACATGGCTTTTCATGCAGCAGGGGTCCATTACACACCGCTGTGGGGCTGCGGCTTTCATATTCCTAGTTCCTAGATCTCAAAATGTTGGAAGTTGCAAGGGAAGAGGGAGGGGGCAGGTCAGTCTGGATAAGCCCTTCATAAAGACTCTTTATGCCCTTTGCAGCTACTCAGTGCCACTGTGAGATAACCTGGGCTAGACAAACCTGTGCTCTGACCTAGTAAGACCTTAAGAGATGCCATATAAGTCTGGACAGCTTGCATCCTATCTCCTCCTACGCATCATCACTATACTACATATGTTACCTACTCTCACATACAGACACATGCTGTAAAGCTATACTCCCTAATCTCTAAAGCCCAGATACGCTTAATGAAGCATCTCCTGAACCTCATACCTCCTTGTGTTCTTAGCCTCTTGCGTACCCTTGTTTTTCTCAGAACAATGAGGACAAATGTTATACCTCCAATTACTTCTCAAATTCTCCTGTTTCCCTCCCAGTTTCCAAACTCTCCTACACAGGTACCCCAACCCACCACCTTCTACATACATATGTACATCTGGTATGTACATCTCTGGAACTCTCAGCCTAAGTCACACACCCCTTTTGCCTCAAATTCTCTCCTTTCCACATTCCTCCCCAAGTCTCTCTCACTTAAACACTCAAAGGTCTATCTTATCCTGGGTGGCTGTTTGGGCAAGCATAGGTGAAGGAAGCCAGTAGCACACAGACTGATGTAACTAGCATCATATCCAGCCACATCTGACTTTCCAGCCTGAATCTACCCACTTGCAGTTGTGTTGGCCTAGGAACAAGAGCAGGACTTGTATTTGTGCCTCTAGATCCACTGTGAGAAACCTTTTCCACACTGGCACAACAACCTTCACACTCACCATGAAGCCTCTGGAATTCTTTTGTTCCATCTAAGGGTAGCAAATAATTGTTTCCCTTCAAACTACACAACGCTTATTTTCCCACCTAAAAAAACAATGGCAGGATAAACTCTTAACTATAGATGCCTCCAAATCATAAGTCAAATTCTCAGTATATAAGGATTCTAGTTATGCATACTTTTGGAAGAGGGCATTTTAAGCTGCTTATAATCTAGAAAAACGCGTTTATATTCAGGTGTTTTGAAAGTTTGTATTCTGCTTAGGCAGAGTTTAATTTAGTTACTTGTTAGCATTATTTAATAAGCTGAGCGTGGGTGGTTAAGAGACAAAAATCAGAGAGTGGATTTTACAGTAATCTTAATGCAATGTAACATTATAGTTATAAGAATAAATAAAGTAAGGAATATTATTGTTACTATTATAAATATTTTTATTCCAGACCTTGTTTTCTCCCTTTATTCCCATGCCAGTTCCTTCTACTAAAGTAAAAAATTCCCTCCTCTCTGACCTTTTCTACAGATTCACTATTTGTGCATAAATGTTTTGCTCTGCAGCTCTACTGTCTAGAACAGGAATGGGCAAAATACAACCTGCAGGCTGGATCTAGCCTGCTAACTGATTGGATCCAGCCTGCACCCACCAATTGATTGTGGAGTGCCGTGGGCCAGTTCCATGGGGCTGAGCCCTGCTCACTCCTGCCCAGGGCAGCCTGTGCCACACTCCTGCCCACAGCCCCAGTCCAGACTGCAGCTAGTGTGCCCACTTAACAGTAGGGCTGCTCTCAGTGCTGCTGCAACCACCTAGGGGCTACTCAGGTCACCATCAGCAGCTCCTTCTTCTCTGGCCCCTGCTGCACCACTCCATGTGGGAGCAGGGAGCTGCAGCTGAGCGACTCCTGCCCCAGCATGCAGGGCTCCAGATCCAACTCCCACCTGCCTTCCACCCACTCCTCTCACCCAGTGCAATGAGCAAGCCACCTGCAAGTGGCCAGGTGGGTGGAAGGTGGCCTGGAGCTGGAGCCCCGCATACTGGAGAAGGAGCTGCTTGGCTGCAGTGCCCCACCCTCACCTGGAACAGCATAGCAGGAGGAAGAGGAGTCACTGGAGGCAGTGGGAGCCAAGCAGGACCTGGGCAGCTGCAGCAGCAACCCCACCAGGAAGTTGTGCACACAGGCCAGGGCCAGGCTGGTGTGGGTGGGAACAGGCAGAGCTCAGCTCCATTCAGAATGCTGTGGGGGCAGCAGTGGACCAGCAGGAGGGGGCACAGACTATGCTGGCACCTTCACTGCCCTGGCAAGCTGTTGCATGCACCTCCCCCCCCCCCCCCAGCCCCTCGCGC